CGTGTGTGTGTGTGTGTGTGTGTGTGTGTGTGTGTGTGTGTGCGTGCGAGTGCGTATGTGTATGTGTGTGTGTGTTTGTTTGTGCGTATAGAGTAAAGGCTCTATTTGCGGCCATTTCTCACTTAATTTGCTCTAACAGCCAAACGAATAGAGATAACTAAAAACTTTTTGGCCTGCAAACTTGCACATCCTATGGCCAATAGATGTATAATGGTCTACAGCATTCTCGGGTATATTGCCAAGAAGGATGATGGTTCTAAAACACCATAATGTGAAGGGACCATAGTTTGCGATCAGGCCACCTTTATGCGGTCATCGAGGACATACGTTATGCGGCCGAGGAATTGTGATGCGATCACATGGGGATATTATGTATGCGGCCACGACATCCCAACATGATTTTGTAGTGTACTGAGGGGCGGGGTTGTTTTTTAAGAAGATGTGCCAGCAGGTTGGCCTAGTGGTTGACGGACTTTGGTCAAAAGGTGCGAATCCCAACAGTATGATACTCTTGAGCTTCGGTTTTTAATGACCCCCCGCCCTCTTGTGAGATCAAGTGATCAGCCTTCGAAACGACCGTCTGTGCACAGTAGGGTGCTACAAAATTATAATCAGGAGTCACTGTAGCCTAGTGGTAAAACACACGCTTCATATTATTACGTTGAAGATCACGGGTTCGAGTCTCGTTGGGCCCACATTTTCCCCGAGTTTTATGGCCGGAGCTGCCGTCCCTTATTATTATGACCTTCCTGTGTCGACAGAGACAAAACTACCAACCCAGTACTCGGTAAAGTAGTCACGAGAGAAACAGGTGAGAATAGTGAGAACAAAATAAAAAGCTTAATGATGATCGGCTCTTGTTACATTGAGGACAATGAACAACTTTCTTCCCAGACTTAAAAAAACAATGAATAATAAAGTATCAGGAACTTTGACAGACACCTTCACAAACGACCCGAGTGTATCTTTTTTTTAAAAACCAATAATTCTCCCCCCGCCCGGAGTCCAAAATATTCCGCAACGCTCAGGCTTTGAATGAACATTGGTGACCCCTGCAAACATACTCACATTGTGACATGGGATGTGAGCACGCGCAGGTTTGCTGACCGGTCACGTAGGCGAGCCCGACAAGCTGAAAATATGAAGTTTGATTTGTTTTTTTGTTTTTTTCTTTCTTAAGCAACTGAAGTCACAAATATTGATGTATTTTAACGGCGACACGGCGTTTATAATTCACAACCTGCATGTCATATAAAAGTTTCGTTATCAGACCGGGAAAGGCCGAACGAATAATTCAATCACGACCGTCAAAAATGAACTTACGGACCATATCGGATTTGGTTTTATTTATTTCCCTATGGGTCATTCTCGGGGCATTTTACAGATTTCCTCAATTAATTCCCGGGGCATTCCCGGGTCTCGCCGATTTCTTTTTCAAATTCCCTGGGCCTGTTGGTCACCCTGTCAAGAGGTACAAAGTGACAGGGCAGTTTCTTCAGACTACACCGAATCTGATGGAGTCAGTCTTGATTGATCTATCGCTTTGAAGTCAACAACTACAAACCAGGCTCTCTGAATGCATTTATGTAAGCTAAATTGCTGTTCAATGGGCACTGTTAGCAACTGACCACAACATTAATGCCCCTTCTCCAAAGGAGTGGATCTTTTGTAGACGTCGCCGATCGCAAGAAGTCCCTTTTAAAAAATAGTGGAATAATTATGCGGCCGCCCCGTCCCTGGGTACCCTTAATTGTTGTTTTCTTTTTGTTAAGACATTTAAACATGAAATTTATTCATTACTGCAACACATGAACCTATAATCGAATAAAAAATATGATAAGAAAGCTTTGTAATGACCTTGAGCAAGTGACCATTCAAATTTTTCACACATGCATCATTTTGATCGACCAAATTCTTCTACTAACCACTGCCGCTCTCAAACTTTGCTGCCTATCAAGACTATCGAGACCATCTTTGTTGTGAGCGTGTGATTCATGCCAGTGCATCACGGGAGCTTGGTTTCCGTTTGGAAAATGAAACAAGGCTTGAGTTATTTATTTCATAAGGAAAGTGGCCGCATAGTTCGGCGGGCTGCAAATAGTGCCTTTACTCTATGCGTGTGCGAATGTGTGTGTGTGTGTGTGTG